GAGAATCCTGGCAGAGAGCACAGCAGAGCTGCTCATTCATTGTGAAATAACTCAGATGCGAATGTTGGTGCCCAGCTCTTACCCACCTTGGCTGACATTCCCCTTGGCACAGACCCCTAGCAACCCTGGGCTCTGTGGGTTATAGGAGTTCAGCCCCTCTCCCAGCCCCAGGATTTGGCCAGGGATTAAGTTTGCCTCCAGCAATCCTGGGGCTTGGCTCTTCCAGGACCTCTTCCCAATCCTGCAAGGGCTCCTTCAGTAAAATCATCAATTGAGGATGGTACAACTCCTTGCGTTCCAAGCCCTCCAAACATTTTCTCGACCATGAATACCAATATCTTCATCCGCCCCCAGAAAATCCCTTTGTTTCCCAGACCCCCACCAATATGTGGCCCTGAGGCTCTAGGAGGGCTTTTCTCTTCCCTCCTAGCAGCCACTGGTCCTCAATCTTAGCTGCAGATTATTTTCAAATTCTATCAGAGCCCAGAACTCACAAGTGAAAAAGAACCATGAGCTTCAGTGATGCCAAGAACTCTGTTTTAGTAGAGGGGACAGGGCCAAGGCCAAGGCAGACATACCTGGAACCTTCTCTCAAGAAAAGAACAGAGTCTCTGCAAGCAAAAATCAGACACTTCCCTCAAAAATCCACAAGCCCCAACCTCAGTGATTTCAAACCTTTCTTCATAACATCTTCAAGCTCCCAAATGCTTTAAAACCTGCTTTGACACAAGATCAGTAAAGGTCAATTCTGAGCTCCCAGCCCCACTTGCCCCTGCTCTGCTGCTGCTCTTCTCAGCTCTAACCATGACCAGCTTCACCGTGACCTCTGGCAGACATGCTCATTCTTTAGAGGCCCAGGAATGTCCCACTGACGCCACCAAAGCTTTCAGACCTCACAGAAATCCCTCTTTCAAAGTTCTCTGTTCCTAATCACACAATTTAGCCCCTAGGCTAGCAAAATCCAGTATGATGTTCCACAAGGATGAAAACATTCTTTCGCACTATTCAATTCGTGTCTATCAAATCAATTTTTAATTGAGTTTCATTCCTTCATGTTCATTAATTTTAATATTAATAGTTGCACATGGGTCGTGACTACCATATTCAACAATAAGGGCCTGGATACAGTTGTTAATTTTGCCTTCTTCAAATAGGTTTGGAAGGTTTTTTGAGACAGTTTCCCTATGTAGCTTAGGCTGGCCTTGAACTTGTTATGTAGTCCAAGATGGTCTCAAACTCTTGATCTTCCTGCCTTGACCTCCCAAGGGCTATGATTACAAGTATATGCCACCACTCCTGGGTCAAATAGGTTTCTTTCTTGAACCTCAAAATTTTACAGGCTACTACGTATGTCTATATCCTCAATGGTAAGTGCTCAGCAAACTGTTCACTATCTAGAACCATATTAGATACAAAAGAGGCTGGTTTAATCTGTGAGAACTTCTTTACCTTGTGATTCTATCCAGCAAACTCCAGTTGAGACACTGCCTCTCCCCCAGCCACACTACCCATCACTTCTCCCACAAGCTCACAGAAGTAGGTGGGTTGGACAAGACAATGCCTGTACTAGGGGATGCAGGAGCTCTAGTGTTTCCCTATAACAGTGTCCAGACCAACCATGAGAGGTTCGAATCATCTTCCCTTCATGACAGCAAAGGAAGCCACATTGAAGTGGCACTTACATGACCTGGAGAGGGAGGACCACTAGAGAAAGGAAAGGAGGAGAAACTATGAACCTCATTTCCTCTAGGCTATGCAATGGAAAGATAAACAGAGATAAGTTATGACAACATTCTGTACTCAGTAAGCAATAATATGCTTCACCTAATCAGCGCTGCACAGCAGAGGACAACAGTACCAGCTTCAATTAAAGTTGTTCAGCTGATACCTAAAACTTACCATGATACAGTAAAGCAGAAAGCAGCTGAGGGACGCCACGAGGAATATGACCAATTAATACCTAAATGGGCTGAAACTAGGTATTCCTACTGATGAATTCCCATGTTCTTATACGAATAATAATAATTAAGATTTCTATCAAACAATGTCTGTAAAAGGGAGACAAGTGGCAAAAAAAACTTCTAACTACAAATCCAAAATTCATGCCGGTTTAGAAGCTGCCCCTCCAATGTTGGCCATCCAGCTTAAGGTGCCAGATACCCACCCATTGCCCACTGGCCAACAGCCAACAGTCAAAGGAGGACTTGTGGTCAGAGCAGTTCCCCAGGCTCCAGGTGCTCTAGAATGACAGCCAGCCCATGTTTGTCAATGTCACCACAGTTAGGAAGTAGAGAAAGGCCTGAGATTAGGAGTGAGGTGCCCTGAGTTCTAACCCTACCTCTGCCAAGTGAGTGGCTATGTTACCGTAAGCAAGTCACTCCTTCACTCTGGGTCTTGGTTTTCTCATCTACAAAATGAGAAGGTTAGATGAGATGACCTCCCAAGGCTCTGCCTGGAAGTACAAGTGTGACTCAGAACCTGGCAGGAGATGATGAGGCCAGGCCATAGTACCCAAAAGCATTTCAACATCAGCTCTCCTAGGTGGAGGTAGAGAAGCAGCAGGATGAGTTAGGACCATTTTTAAAGCACTGATTTCACTTAACAGGGCAAAGAGGTTACAGGCCACAGATAGGGAGCAGAACCTCTAGGCAGCCACCACCTTCCTTCAACTCTCAGGGCTATAAGACAGCAGACATCCAAAACCCCCAGGAGCTGCTGGCCCACAGCTCTGTCCTAAATTCCCAGGAATAGGCTGAGCACACTCTGCAGAGCACAGGTCTCTTCCCTTTTTCTCAGCACCTTCCCAAAGAGGTCATCCATGCAGCCGGCCCCACCCCACCCCACCCACAACACACACATCTTCCTCCCTAGCTTCATCATCAAAAGGCTCCTGGTTTGGAAAATCATTCCACTATTCAGCACCTAAAGTTAATCAAAATCCAAGATCTAGAAATCTCTTTGGTGCAAGTCTCTGGAACAGGATTCTTTGAACCAGATTCCCCCACAGCTATAATTATGCCTTAGCCAATATTTGGATATGAAAGTGCTGTTGACACTGCTGTCAGTCTCCAAATGCATCGTCCCTCCTTTCTTCCTCTATTATTAAGTTTTAACACAAAGATGTGTGAGAAATCTACAATTTAACTTCTAAGATCTAGGAGCAGGCTGCCTGTCAAAACAAACTGTCTTCAATCTTCACCCACTTCTTACACTAGAAGCATAAGCTATGAGGGTTATTTAATATACTAGATTTTTCCTTTAAAAACTATTCAAGGGAAAAAAAAATACCCAAACTTCACTCCTATTAATTACAATAGAAATCTGAATTGCAACTGCCAGTGGGTGAAGGCAGATGGCATCTCAGAAGAGATAGAAAACTCTCCTGGAAAGAACATCTGTCACTTCCTCAATGGTACAGGTTAACTGTGGTCAGACCATTCACACACCTCCAGTCTCCAAGATCAGAGCCACAGTCAATCCAAACAACTCCTCCCTTTCCCCTTAGTTACCACAGCACAAATAGTTTTCATTACACTGATTAATTCCCTCTTCAACAGTCAACACTAGACAACAAGCAAGATCCCATGGCAAGAGCTTATAGTAGAAACCAAAGAAATGTGACAGCACTGAGGGTGAAAGCAGCAAGAAAATTATTTGAAAGGCCTTAAAATATAAAATCAGACATGCTTACACTCAACAGTGTAAAAATAGGTTTTTATTACATCTGATTGTGTATGCTACGGGTAACTCTTATCTAAGTTTAGTATTTGATAACTGAAACACAGTTGGCTGTGAGGCTTGAAAGGGAAGAGAAAAATATAACACAGGAAGTATTTCTCTCCTCCTCCAATCATTAAGATACCCCAGGGGAAACAGACCTGCCATGTGACCTTTAGAGATGTGGTTTGACCTGAAATCCTTCTGAGAAGAAAACCTTTTTGGTGACTCTGAATGACTGGCTCACACTTCACTAGGGACCCACCACACCACATCAGACCTCCAAGTCTATTCTGTTTAACTTCTGAAATGGTGTTGTCACTTAAAACCCTCATTCTCCCCTTACCACACTCCCTCAAAAAAAAAAAAAAAAGGTTGGGTTTCCCCAGCCCAAGAATAGCGTTTCCTCCTGCTGCCCACCAATCACCCGGGTCCAGGACTGAAGTGGCTGTCTCTGGATTGCAGAATCAGCACAGGGCCAAACTGTGGCTTACAGACTTGGTTTACAATGATCAATGGAGCTATGGAAACAGCAGACACCGCGCCGGAGCCTGCTGGCCTCCCATCTGGAGCCTCACAAGCTCTAGAGGTAGGAGGGGGCCAGCTCTCCCCAGATCAAAACAATCCCTCCCCCGCGCGGGGGGCGGTGTCCCGGCGGAATCTCCAGCCTTGCGCCTCCGGAGCCGGCGCGCCCCACGGCCGCACGGCCGCCCTCGCGAGGCCCAGGGAAGTGAAATCACACATTCCGGCTCCCAAATAAGGAGCGAGGCTAAATAAACCTCTGAGATCCGACTTCTCCAAACCAACCGACCAACCAACTCAATGAGTAATGGGCCTTTTGTGCCCGCAGAAAGAAAGAGAGGAGGGAGGGAGGATGGGGAACCACAAGCCCCAAAAATCACTTCCTTGAGACCGGGATGAAATTAGCAGAAGTGAACCCAAAGCCAACCGTTGCGACTCGGCTGGATCCCGCTCAAACCCCAAAATGGCAGAGTGCTCACGAGTCCCCGCCACTCACCGCCAGAGGTGACCGGAAACTCGGTCCGGGCGGCGTGGTCTGCTCCGATCCTACGGTCCCCATCGCACACCCGCACCCCTGGGCGCCCGGGCCAGGACAGCCCCACCGCGGCCACTCGCTGCCCCGGACGCCCAGTCCCAGCAGACAGAGAGGTCAGCACCAAGACCCTAGCGATCTGTGCGCCTGGGCAGCTCCTGCGTGTTGGTGGTCGTCCCCAGGAACACCCCCGCGGCCCGTCCCCCACTTCCCGGGTTCCCAAACCTACTTTGAGGGCGAATTTCTCCTGGGTCCTCTTGTTGAAGATTTGCAAAACTTTCCCGTTGATGCCCAGTCCCAGGACCTGGCTGGTGACCTTGTAGTCGTCGATGATGGCGTTCTTCTTGATTTGCAGGCTCGACTTGACGTGGAACTGGGGGAACTGCTGCGGGGGCTGCGGCGGAGGCTGGGCCGGAGGATGAGGCTGGGCCGGGGCGGGGGGCTGCGGCGGCAGCGGCGGCGGCGGGTTGGGGAACGGCACCGGCGGGGTCTGGCCTTGGGAGTTGGACAGCATGGTGCCGGGAGACGCGGGCGCACAAGCGGGAGGGCCCGCGGCCGCCCCCTCCTCCAACTCCGGACAGGGTCCCCGCCACCCCCCGCCCGGCAGCGAAGTTTGATCCGGACTGGAGCCGGCTTCCCCGCCCCGGCCCGGCTCCAGGCTCGGCGGGTCGCGGGGCTCCGTAGGTCCCGCCGTGCGCCGCTGGCGCCCACCGGCCCTGCGCCCACCCTCCCTCCCTCCCCCCCGGGGGCCAAGCGCTCCGGAGAACGCGGGATGGCGGGGGCCCGGCCGGGGGGAAGCGGTCGCACTACAAAGTACCCAGCCCCGGGGCCGGCGGCCGCGTCACAGGCTCGTCTGCGTCCGGGGCTGGTCCTTAAAGGGGAGGGTCAGGGGGTGGGGCTTGGGGAGGCGTGGGTATGGGGGAGGGGCAGGCCTTAAAGGGGAGGAAGCCAGGAGCGAAGAGAGTGGAGGAACCACGACTAGAGACTGGAGGTTGGAGAACTGGGAGAGGGGACCAAGAAATTCTAGTTCTTAATCCGGGCCACGCAAAAGAAAGGGGGAGGCGAATGAAAGTAACTGGATAAATCAGACAGAAAATCTTCTGTTTTCCAGTTGTCCGGATCTTTTGAAAGAGCATCCATGAATTGGGAGAACCTGTGTTATTAGAAGGACAGGAATGACTGGTAAGAATCCAGCTAGATGAGACCTGTTGAGCTACAGTTACAGAGGTCAAGTGTCCTAGGGACGAGTATCAGGCAATATTAAGTATTTTCTTAACTGAAAATTTTTCTTCTAGTTTTACATTTCGATTCTCGTGAAGTTACTGTTTTCAGTAAAGATTTATTACTGTGTAACCATGAGCAATTTAGTAATTACACTTCTGAATATATTTTTATGTAAATAAACTTTTAAAAGACACCGGTAGGAAGAGGATAGGTGAAGGTTGAGACGGCACAACTGGGGACAGTGGTTGTGTGTCTGTAATCCCAGCTACTTGGGAAGTAGAAGCAAATTCAAGGCCAGCCCAACACAGACAGACCCTATTGAAAGAAAAAAAAAAAAAGGAAGAAGTATTGAGACTACAAAGTTTCCTTCCAGCCTTCCCCTCTGGGTGACCCTGAGCAACCCTTCTATCCCTCTCCGTGGGAGAAACAGCTATACCTTTTCATAGGGTTCTGGACAGAATCCCATGAAATAATGTAGCAAGGGGAAGGTTTAGGGAATGGTTCTGATTTCCAATGTGGAAAAATTAGTCCCTGAACCCTACAACCATAAGGAAAAGTGGTTACTTTTTAAGAAACCTAGTTCTAGTCCAGGTTATCCCAATGACTGTGACAAAGATACCAAGGATCTAGCTGGACCCATAGCATAGCCAGGATCGGGGAGGGATCTGGGGAGGTCCAAGCTGCCAGAGAGAGGGCCTCTATACTTACACGGGGTGATGGGGTTTGAGAATGATCATGAAATACATTCCTGCTAGCCCTGCTCTAATAAAGCTGTTGAGAAATAAGACAAGTGAACAAAATAGGCAAAAGTGAAACCTCATCTTAATTGCTGATACAACCAAATTAGAAAATGAGTCTTGACCCACAGCCACACAAACTCCAACGGGATAAAAGCATCCTGAGAAAGGGGCCCTTGGGGACACAGCCCAGGTGGGCAATTCTTTCATCCTTTCAGAAGCAGCAAGCCACACTAGGAAACAATCTAGAGATGAGTGAGCGAAGTCACGGTCTACAGGTGAGGTGCCTACCTCTCTCTGCGTCTGAAAAAAAAAGAAAAGGAAAATAACCTTTTTCCTTCGGGGCTGAGAACGAAATGAGATAGTATCTATGAGAACTCTTCATAAAATATCAACCATAAATTATCGTGAAATAGTATCACCATTACGAAAGTGCGGCTGGCTTGCTCCTCTGCTCTGTGCCCACTGCCTAGGAATCTGTCCCGATTTAAGGACCTTCCCATCCAGCTGGAGTTGGGAGAAGATGTCAAGCCTGGGACCATAAAACCCGGCTGGGAATTCCTCCTGGAATTACCAGATCCACACGGGCCTAGGGGACACACAATGACTCCGGGGTACATACACAGTGCACAGAGGTTACATAGACTACACGCACAGCACTCAGAAAACACACTTGTATATGAATACATCACAGAGAATGAGGCATCTGGCATGTTACAGCATCCGAGGCAGATGGATGGATAACTAAGGAGCAAGTTGGTCCACAGGAACAGGCCCTCAGCAAGAAATCCAGTCTGTAGTTCTCTCCTGATACTGGCTAGCTATTTGACCTCACAAAAGTCCTTGGCCCTCAGTTCTTTTTCATGTGCAAAATGGTGGTAATAACATCTGCCTTGCCTTCCTTGTACAGCTATTGAAAGAGTTAAATGAAATATTTCACTATAGGGCAGAAGAAACTCAAAGTTCTATTTTTATAACACTAATCTCTTAGCCATCTATAATGAACAAATTAATAGACAGTTGTTAAGGACATGTAAAAGTACTTCAAAAATTGGAAGATGGGCTGGGGTCCTAGCTTAGTAGCAAAGTGGATCCTTTGCATGGGTGAAGCCCTGGGTTCTAGCCCCAGCACTGAAAAAAAAAAAAAAAGTTGAAAGTCTGTGCACATAGTAACTATTTTTGTTTATTAAAAAAAGTACTATTTTTTTGTTGACATGTAAATCTATATGCATGCAATATAATGCACAAAAAGACAGTTCATTTAAGGACCTTGGATACATAGAATTGAATTAGTCCTAATCCTCATTTCATGACATACCTTATCATTGGATTAATAGACTATGCACCTCCACTTTTATTTAGTTAGCTAACAGGCTGAGTTTAGTTGGTGTTGGTTGGTACTAGGGGTTGAATTCAGAGCCTGCTAGGCAGACGCTCTACCTCCAGCTCTTTTTGGTTTTAGTTACTTTTGGAATGGGGCCTCAACTTTTTCACCAGGCTGACCTGGACAGTTATCCTCCTATTTATGCTTGCCATGTAACTGAGATGATGTGTGCCACCAACCCAACTTATTTGTTCAGATGGGGTCTTGCTGACTTTCCACCCTGTCCACTGCTGGCCTCACTTAAATCACAATCCTCTAGATCTCCATGTCCTGAGTAGCTAGGATTACAAGAGTGAGGCTCTGCACCCAGCAATAATTATTTTTAATAAAGCAATAGGCACCTGCGAACCCACTATGCAAAACAAAAACCAGAACTTTGACACACATTAATGCAATCATTCCTCCGCCCCCCCCAACCCATCCCTGTTTACATTCCCCAAGGAGACCATCATCCTGAATCTCATTCACCTTCCCCTTGTCTTCCTTTTATTTCATGAGGATGTGTTTAAGGTATCATAAGAGATGAAGCCCAAAGTGTCTTTAAAAAGGGAGGTGGCCCAGGGTGATTTTGGCAGCAAGATGAAGGTAAAATCAGGCAACATCTTGCCATAGTTTCAAAGTATTCCTCACCTTCTCCTGGAGTTGATAATGATGATGATGACAGTGACTCTTCCATGTCCAAGACCATGTTCAACTCTGTCCTTCATTGATTCATTTAGCTCTCACAAGCATCTGTAGCTGACATCGCTAGTTGTCTAGGCCAATATCTATTTTCCCCTCTTTGACAGTGAAGAACCCCAATGTTTAGCTGAGCACGTGCCCACCTAAGTAAAAATTACATCTCCCAGTTTCCCAGCCTCCCTTATAGCTGGTTACATTCATGATTTAAGTTTAGCTAATAAGTTGTACATGGAAGTGGTTTGAAGGTAAAAGATTCCTTCTCCTCTTTTCTCCTTCCTGCTGCTGGAGTGAAAATTTAACAGCTGGAGTGTGAGTAGCCCTCTCAGATCATGACAGGAAAAGGACAGAAGGAACCTGTGTCCTGGTGAGCGTAGATCCATCATATCAGCTCTGAACTACCTACTTAGACTTTTACATAAGAGAGAATAAATGTCCTTCTTGTTGGAGTGACTGGTGTTCTAGGTCTTCTACCACTTAGTGCAAAACTTATCTTATTACCCAAACCTATGAGTACTATTATCCAGAAGGACCTACTGGATAAAAGAGAAAACTGAGTTCAAGAGAAATAACTTTAGCAGGATCATTCCGCTAGCACAGGACAGATCTTAAGTCTTTCTGACCCAAAGTCTGTGCTCATGGCCCCTACTCTAAATCCTGAGCAGACATACACCCACATATTCTTCTTGATGTTGGTAACATGGTATCTGCCCTTGCTAGGCAGGTATGGCCAAAAGACATATAAGCTATTCTTTGCATTTTAGATCAATTTTAAATTTCCTCTATTTCCCTTCAATCTTGGCCTTAGCTCTTACAAAGCATAGATCTATGTTAATTTGAATGTCTGGTTATATTAAAGGGATTCACACCAATCTCTCCTTTCTTCCCTATGACAGCCTTCATTCTTGCTTTCACACCACCTAGGAGCAAAAAATTCCTGTTTTTTAGTATGCTGTGGTATGATGAATGTATGACAGGGTGGAAGTCTGTGAAGACAGATATCTTGGAAATGTTCAGGTGGTCTCTCTGGCTGAGATAGAATGGCCCATAGGCTGATGGCTATGTGTATGCACAGATGAAGTGGCCTTTGTGTCAGTTGCTAGTATGGTAGACAAAATTCTGCAGAGGGGCATGATTCCCAGGAAAAGCATTGTCCCCAGAAAACTCACCCTTGGAAAGGACAATGACTTCAGGTCAAGGAGAGATAGGTCTTTATGTGATAGGCTAGTATTTCTTAAATAAAATGAGAAATCTTCCAAAGCAAAAGTGACAGATAATTAAGAACCATTAGTCACAAAATTTCCTTTCTTTCTTTTTTTTTTTTCTTGGTGTTACTGGGGTTTGTACTCCGGGCCTTGTGCACACGAGCCACACGCCCAGCCCTAGTCAGAAAATTACTTCAAAACTTCCATCTTAGAGCCAGGTATGGTTGGTAGCACACATATGTGATCCCAGCACTTGGGAGGCTGAGGCAGGAGGATCCAGAGTTCCAGGCCCAGCCTGAGCAAGATGGTGAGACCTTATTCAAAAAGAAAATAAATAAATAACTTTACACTCGGTGACCCCTATAATCCTTTCCATCTTACCCCTCTGTGAAGGTATGAAGGGCTGGTCCACAGAAAGAAATTCTACCCAAAGCAAGTGTTATTGGCAATGACCTTCATGAAGACCTTCTGGGGGGAAAAATGCTCTGCTCCCCCATAGGCAGAGCCCTTCCTTATTTGCACCCCATC